ATTGAATGAAAAAACAAGACTCATTCTTCTTCTATCATCAAGAGACCCAATCTCACATGTTATGACACCTATAGTCTCAAAGTAAAGGGATGGAGAAAGATATGTCATGTAACGGAAAACAAAAAAAAGCAAGGGTTATGGTTTCTATATCAGAATTTAAACCAACAAAAATAAAAAAGGACAAAGAAGGGCATTAAATAATGATAAGGGGCTCAATTCAACAAAACATCTTAAGTGTCCTAGATATATATGTATCCAACATTGGAGCACCCAGATTCATAAAACAAGCACATCTAGACTTAAAGACTTTGGCAGTACACAACAATAGTCATACAACATGCAACACCCCACTGATAGCATTTGATAGATCGCTGAGGCAGAAAATTGACAAATTCTGGACATAAATTTGACATGACCATTTGGACCTAATAGATATCTACAGAATACTCTATCTAACAACCGCAAGATATACATTCTTCGTATCTACATATGGAACATACTCTAAAACTGACCACATGCTTGGTCATAAAGCAAGTCTCAATAAATAAAAAAAATCCAAATCATACCAAGCATCTTCTCAGACAACAGTGAAATAAAAATAGAAATCAATACACAGAAGATCTCTCAAAACCATAAAATTACATGGAAACTAAACAAATTGCTCCTCAATAACTTTTGGGTAAACAATGAAATCAAGGCAGAAGTAAAAAAGCTTTTTTGAAGTAGATGAAAACAGACATGGAATGTATCAAAACCTCTGGGATGCAGCAAAGCAGTGTTAAAGGAAAGTTTATAGCACTAAAAAACTACATCGAGAAGTTAGAAATGACATTGAGAAGTTAGAAAGTTCTCTAATTAGCAAACTAATCTTGTACCTAAAGGAAATAGAAAAATAAGAACAAATGAAACCCAAAACTAGCAGAAGAAATAAAATAACTATAATCAGAGCAGAAATGAACAAAATTGAGACCTCAAAAATCATACAAAGGATCAATGAAACAAAAAGTTGGTTTCTCGAAAGGATAAACAAGATTGATAGACCATAAGCTAGATTAACAAGGAAAAAAAGAGAGAATATCCAAATAAGCATAATCAGAAATAACAAAAGTGACATCACAAATGATCCCCCAGAAATATAAAGGATCCTCAGATGGTACTATGATGAGCATTTCTATGCACATGAACTAGAAAAATCTAGAGAAATGGATCAATTCCTGGAAACACACAACCTCCCAAGATTGAACCAGAAAAAACCAAAAATCCAGAACAGACTAATCATGAGTAATGAAATTCAATCAGGACTAAAAACCTACCAACAAACCAACCAACAGAAAAAAAAAGCCCTGGACAACCAAATTGTACCAGATGTACAAAGAAGAGCCGGTATCAATTCCACTGAAACTAATCCAAAAAATTGAGGAGGAGGGACTCCTCACTATCTCGTTCTATGAAGCCAGCATCATCCTGATACAAATATCTGGCACAGACATAAAAGTAAAAGAAAACTAAAGGCCAATATCCCTAATGAAAATAGACTCAAAAATCTTCAACAAAATGCTAACAAACTGAATCTAGCAGCATTTAAAAAAGTTAATTCATCATAATCAAGTGAGCCTTATTCCTGGGATGCAAGGATGATTCAACATATACAAATCAATAAATGTGATTCACATCATAAACAGGACTAAAAACAAAAACCATATGATCACCTCAATAGACGAGGAAAAGCGTTTGATAAAATTCAACATCCCTTTATGATAAAAATCCTCAACAAACTAGGCATCAAAGGAACATACCTCAAAATAAATGAGAGCCATCAACGACAAACCCACAGCCAAAAGCTGGAGGCATTCCCCCGTAAGAACTGGAACAAAACATAGATGTCTACTCTCACCACTCCTATTCAATATAGTACTGGGAGTCTTAGCCAAAGCAATCAGGCAGGAGAAAGAAATTTATCCAAATAGGAAAAGAGGAAGTCAAATTATCTGTCTTCACTAACAATATGATTCTGTCCCTAGAGAATCCTAAGGATTTGACCAAAAGACACCTAGACCTGATAAATGACTTCAACAAAGTCTTATGATATAAAATGAATGTACAAAAATCAGTAGCATTTCTGTATACCAATAATGTTTAAGCTGAGAAACAAATAAAGAATGCAATCCCATTTAAAATAGCCACAAAAATATTGAGGAATACATCTAACCAAGAAAGTGAAAGATCTCTATAAGAGTAACTATAAAACACTGCCAAAAGAAAGGATGAAACAAGCAAATGAAAAAACATCCCACACTTACGGGTTGGAAGAATCAACATTGTTAAAATGACTATGCTATCCAAAGCAATCTACAGATTTAATGCTATTCCTATCAAATTACCAATGTCATTTTCCATAGAATTAGGAAACACTATTCTAAAATTCATAGGAAACAAAAAATGTGCCCAAACAGCCAAAGCAATCCTAGTAAAAAAGAACAAAGCCAGAGGCATCACATTATCCAACATATAAATATACTACAAGACTACAGTAACCAAACTAACATGGTATTGGTACAACAGTAGACACATGGACCGATGGAACAGAACAGAGACCCCTGAAACAAAGTCACATACCTATAACCAACTGATCTTTGACAAAGTGAACAAAAATAATGTGGAAAGAATATTCTATTCAATAAATGAGCTGGAGAAACTGGTTAACCATATGCAGAGGAATGAAACTGGACCCCTTACTTCTCACCATATACAAAAATTAACTCAAGGTTGAAGAAAAACCTCAAACTATGAAAATCCTAGAAGAAAACATAGGAAATACTCTTCTAGACATTGGCCTAGGCAAAGTATTTGTGATGAAGGGTCCAAAAGCAAATGCAACAAAATAAAAATAGACAAATAGGATTTAAACTAAGGAGCTTCTGCATAGCAAAATAAAATATCAACTGAGTACAATGTACAGAATGGGAGAATATATTTGCAAACTATGCATCCCACAAAGAACTAACATTGAGAATCTATAAAGAAGTTAAACAAATCAATAAAAAGTAAATAAGCCCATTATAAAGTGGGCAAAGAACATGAATAGACACTTTTCTAAAGAAGACATAAAGCTGCCAACAAACACATGAAAAAGTACTCAACATGACTAATCATCAGAGAAATGCAAATCAAAAACACAATGAATTACCATCTTACACCAGTCAGAATGCCTATTATTAAAAAGTTAAAAAAAAAAAAAAAAAAAAAAAAAGAAAAGATTTTGGCAAGATTGTGGAGAAAAGAGAATGCTTACATTCTGTTGCTGAGAATATAAACTAGTTCAGCCTCTGTGAAAAGCAGTTTAGAAATTTCTCAAAAAGCCGAAAATAGAACTAACGTTTGACCTACAATCCCATTACTGGGTATATACCCAAAGGAAAACAAATCATTCTACCCAAAGACCTGCACTCATATGTTTATCGCAGCACTATTTACAACAACAAGACATGGAATCACCCTAGGTTCCCATCAACAGTGAACTGGACAAAGAAAATGTGGTACATATACATATAGAATACTATGTAACCATAGAAAGAATGACATTATATCCTTTACAGCAAAATGGATGCAGCTGGAGGCCATTGTCCTAAGTGAATTAACAAAGAAAATCCAAATACTGTATGGTCTCACTTATAAATGGGAGCTAAACATTGGGTACACAAAGACATAAAGGAGGTAACAATAGACACTGAGGACTCCAAAAGAGGAGATGGAGGGAGGCGGCAAGGGTTGAAAATCTGCTTATTGAGTTCTATGTTCACTACCTGGGCAATGAGATCATTAGAAGCCCAAACTTCCCCAGCATGCAATATACCCATGTAAGAAACCTGCACATGATTAACAAATAATCATGTGCATGATTAACCTGATTAACAAATAAAAATAATACATTAAAAAGGAAATATATTTAAGGTAAAAAGCATTATTCAGAGTAAAGAGGGATATTATTTAATAAAAAGGAATAATTACTAAGAACTTAACTCTAAGCCTATTTTATATACTGGCATAGTTTCACAAAGTATAATGGGAAAAATTCCAAAATTACAAAGGGAAGTTGCCAATCATAGTGGTATACCTTAATATAGCTCTCTTAGAATCTGACAGATCCAGTATAAGAACGTTAGTAAGATAAATACCACAATTAGTAAGTTTGAGCTAAAGGTCACATATGGAGCCTTGCATTCAAGAAATGACATGCATGGAATATTTTATATAAACAAAACATGCACCAGGCTGCACAGGAAGTGTATATAATTCCAAAGAGTCAATTTCATGAAAACCATGAGTATAATTTCCATAATGTAATTAAATTATAAACAAAAAAAGATGGTCCCCTAAATCCTAAAATGGCTTTGAACTAGTAAGTGTAGTTTTAGAATTGAAAGGGCTATATACTAAAACTTGTAGGGAAAAATTAATACAGAATATTATAATTCAGAGTAGTTGTTGCCTCTGAGGAAGAGAAGTGAGAGAGAATAAGGGGATTCTGGGATGCTGGTACTGTTCTATTTCTTACTCTCAGTGATGGTTCGTAAATAAATCTACACAGTTTGTGATAGTTAATCAAATTGTATAATTTTGATTTGTGCATTTTTCTGGATTTATGTTATCCTTCAATAAAAAGTAAAAAAAGAAAAAAACCTATGGGATACAGCTAAAGCAATACACAAATGTATGTTTATATTCTCAAATATATACATAAAATACGTGTGTGTGTATATATAAAGTATACATATATATACACACACACACATATAAAGTAAACATGAAATATTGAAAATTCATGGGCCAAGCATTCTACTCAAGAAATCGTGAAAACAAATAATTTACAGTTTCTTAGAAATGAAGGAAGTTCCTAGTGAAAAATATTGACATTGCAGAAGAGGTTAAAGAAAACATTAAGATTAGGATTCAAGAGCCTGTTTATAAGCCTCCTCAGCAGGTTCTTTTTGTCACATTACCTAAGCGTATAGAAATAGGATGTGACAATATATTTTGGGTAAGTCCACGAAAAACTGGAAATGATTCTTCCAAGTCACAGCAAGCGAACCATGTAGCAGTAAGTAGCCAGGGAGCTTCAGGCTTAGGTGGGCGTTCCTATTTGAAGACAGAAAGAAAATGAATAACAATTCACAAAGGCAATCACAAAATATACTTTCACTTTGTCCAACTGAAAAATCAAGCTCTATCAGTAAGTTAAAATAACCATTTTCCTAGGACAAGTAGTACAATATGGTGAAATAGAAACGGTGTTGAATCAATTCTAATTGTGGACCTTTGCACAGAAGTACAGCTGCTAAAAACTTTTCAGATTGACATTTACAGAAAACAAAGTTGATCAATTAAATCTGCTACCTTCAGCCTATTTTCCAACACCCCACACCAATCTTTCCCCACTCGCCAAATATTCCTATGGTTAATAATTTTTCTCTAGAGACGAGTCTCCAAATCAGATTACCAGATGTTCTCACCCCTAGGAGACAGAGAAAGCTGAGTATGGAGCAGTATCAGTAGCAAGACAAATGGCAACCTAATTCCAGCTCTGTTAAGTGTTTGCCTAATTATTTTAGATATTCTCAGAAACTTCTGGGAGAAGTGTTATGCCATTTGGCAATATTCCGTGAAGCACTTACATGTGGGCAAACAGTTTTAAAAGAGACAGAGAAATAACTGTGATTGTAAGACAGAAACTAGTTCTTCAAAATTTCCTGAATATTTGCCCAAGGTTCCCTACTACATTTAAAAACACGTTATTGAGATAAAATTCACATACTAAGCAATTCATCCATTTGAAGTATATAATCTAATGATTTCAGTATATTCACAGATGGGTACACCCACCATCACAATTTAGAACATTTAATTTCTTCAAAAAGATACTGTGCACTCATTAGCCATTACTCCCCTTTAATCCCATCCCTTGAGCCCTAAGCAACTGCTAAACTACTTACTGTCTCTATATATTTGCCTATTATGGACACTTCATGTAAATCAAATTATATAATATGTGGGCTTTTGTGACAGACAGCTTAGTGTTTTCAAGTTTCATCCATGTTGTAGCACGTTATCAGTACTTCATTCCTTCTTATGGTTGAATAATATTCCATTGTATAAATATACCACATTTTATTTATATATCAGTTGATGGACATTTGGGCTATTGGACATTTGGACATTTCCATCTTTTGACTAGTATAAACAATGCTGTTATGAATATTCGTGTCCAAATTTTTGTGCAGACATATGTTTAACCAGTAAGTATAATGGAAGTATTCCAAAAACTGAAAAAACCCCAAATCTGAAATGCTTCTGGGCCTAGGCATCTTGAATTAAGGAATACTCAACCTGTAATGCACTGTAGCAACTCTGAGCATGCACCATTTACCCAAAGGCTTCTTACTGTTACTTGCTTATTTGTTTAATAACTGACTGGATTATTTTAGTGGAGTCTCTCCACAACCCCTGTACAGCATTAAGCCTCTAATGTTGCTCCTCAAGGGGTGCAGCCTTAGGAATGCCCACAGTTACCCTGGGATGTTCATAGCTTTTTCAGGGCTCTTTTTGATAGTTTTCCTTGACTGCATCTAGCTGTCAAGCACCACTAATTGTGGGCTGATTGCTCTAATGTTTTTAACAACGCTCTTGGGCACAAATTTCTCCTCAGACTAAAACATTCAAATTTGGGCCCATTTGAAGGAGTTGCTAAGGTCAGTGTTTGGGTTTTCTTCTGGTCTTTGGCAGGCTTCAGTGTCTTCTCTTAATCTCTGGCAAACCAGCTGGTTTATAGTGTTGTCTCTCTGTCCGGTAATTCCATCAGTTTCCTTTCAATTGCCTTTCACTACAACCTTTATTGTTTTAGAGAGCATCATTAGGCTTAAACTTTTCCATACTGTGTTGGAAATGAAGTCAGTTACTCTGTGAGGAGATAAGGAACTATCTGTTTTATGGGTTGCTTCTCCCACTCAGGCAAAATCCCAGGGGCATGACAATGTTGCACTTTTCGCAGAGGCATATTCCAGGAGCTGAGTACGCCATGGGTGGGAAGACAGTAGCCTCAGGTCTCCTCAGCTTGCCTCTGCCATTGAACTACTATCTTAGGAGCTGGAACAACAGTGATGCTGCACCAAACATGAAGCCTCAGTCTCCCCAGTGGGGGCTAGGTGGAAGAAGGCAGCCCCACCTTTTGGCTGCACTCAACTGGAACTTAGCTTCAGCAGTAGGTAGCTGTGGGCAGGATGAGAAATGCTGATGTCCTGTCTTTCTCAGGAATATGGCCCTTTAACTGGCAGTGGGGAGTAAGCAGGAGCCCTGTGCTCTTAGCTGCATCAGTCTGGAGTGCAGTTCCTATCTCACTAAGCTGGGAGCGGGAAGGGAGGCAGTGGGTCTAGGTTCAAAGACCACAGACTCTTGCTGTCCTTACTGAGCCTCTAATAAATTATCTCAAACAAATGTTTATTCATTTGCTGTATGTGCCTGGGACCATTTCCAGATACTTTAAATGATCCTTACATAATTTTCAACAGTTTTGCTGGGGAGCAGGTATGTGAAGATCCTCACACTGTCATGCTGGAAGTGGCATTTCCCTGTGTTACATCTTGATCCTAGATAAACCCCTCAAAGACTCTTAGATTAGTTAATGTTCACAGGCATTTACAAATATCTAATGCAGAATTCTGAGTGGTTTTGCTGTATTTTGATCTCCAATAACAATGTGTAAAACAAATCACTGGTCTCTGCACAAATTTTAATGAATTTTCCAGGAAATAGATATCATGTAAAGTTTTCTGGTTATGCTATTATTACATGCTAGCATCATTTTTTGGATTCCTGGCATTACGAGAAAATGCTTTAAAAAATGTTTGTCCAACCCATGGCCCACAGGCCACATGCAGCCTAGGACGGTTTTGAATGTGGACCAACACGAATTCGTAAACTTTCTTAAAACCTTATGAGATGTTTCTTTTGCGATTTTTTTTTAAAGTTCATCAGCTATCGTTAGTGTATTTTATGTGTGGCCCAAGACAATTCTTCTTCCAATGTGGCCCAAGGAAGCCAAAAGACTGGACACCCCTGTTTAAAATATCATCGTTTAAAAACATTAGTTGTACAGACTGAATATAACCAATGAGAATAGCCTGGAGACCTCAATTTGCAGAAATCCATTTACCTTGTCCACATGTAATAGAAACCTGCAGATGCTTGAGGCTTTGTGTACTGGTTCCAGTTGTTTCTATGTGTCCCTAAATTCTAACTGTTGTGGTTCAATCCTGGAAATGCCCACTTCTGCTCACAACAGCCAGTCTCCAGCTGCAGACCACAGCATCCCCCCCTGCCTTTTGTTGTTGCGACCTTCTAGAAAGGTCATCTGGATTTTCTCATCTGGATTTTCTTTATCTAGTGCATCCAGTCAACTCCAGATTCCATGGGGCATGTATCTCCTTCCTCTCTCTCCTCCCATCCTGGACACTCTTCTTTTATTCTTTCTAGGTCTCTTCCAGAGCCCTTTTGTTGCACCATCTCCTTGCATAATGATACAATCTTGTCATAGGTGTTTGGAACTCAGTGCACATTTTTCCCCAGAAAAAGTTTTATGTATGGAAGTTGGCTTCCAAGGTTATTCCAGAAAATCTAATTTAGATCCTAATGAATGGAGCAAAAAACAATGTAGCACTTACGATAAAAATAGAAAATACTAGTGTCAAAACGTCAAATGAAGTGACCATATAAAATATGCCCCCAAATACATTTCTAAAAATAATTATTAGTCAAGAATCCTTCCAATTTCCTTATGTCTACCATGAGGAAAAAGACAGTTTAATTAAAAATAATTCAGAGAAGTTTCTGACGATGGTAATTTTAAGTTTTGAGTTTGATGGTATTTAAAACATATTTTAAACTTTTCAAAACATGCTGTTCATGAGAAGTAGGTGGTGTTGGAATGGACATGGGCTTTGGGAGCTCAGACACAGGTTTGAATCAGACTGTGTCATGCACTAGTGTGATTTTGGAAAGCTCTTTAACCTCTTTGAGTCTCTGTGTGAGAAAACTGTAAGAAGAGCTGTTGACAAGGCTGCAGTGAGGAAGGAAGGGCGAAAGCACACAGGGCAGGGCCTGGCTGAGTGGCTAACAGCCAGCAGTAGAGTGAACTGGCTAAGAGAGCAGGCTTTATAGACTGCAAGTGTTCAAATCCTGGTTCCAGGTCCTATTAAGTGTGTGATCAGGACAAGTTACTTAACCTTTCCGTGCCTAACTATCTTATCATAGACTAGAGATAAAAATTAGGAAATTACCCAAGAAGAATACTGAGAGGAATAAGGGAGTTGATATACATAAAACACATAGCAAGCTCTCTGTGAATATGAACTGTGATTACGAGGATAAGACACATTAAGAGAGGAGTCACAGAATATGTGTGTATGCAAGATGGATGGGGGTCAGGGAGGAAGGAACATCTGGTGGAGACGTCTTGTCTGGACTTTTTCTGGGAGCATGGGGTGCTGCAAGTCAAATAAAAGCATCAGGTTCAACCTCCTAGTGATACACTGGGGTTCAAATACTGGCAAACAGGTGCAGATGTCAGGTCTGCAGGGGCCAAGGACAGGACTTGAGACTTGCAGAGTTGGACAGAGCCAAGAATTTAGAGTGGAGCAGAGACCAAATTGTAGGCAAGGTTTAGGGGCTCACCTCTGTGGGCCACTAGCTTTGTGGTACATGTGTGGGTTAGGCCAGTTTAAGGGACTGGAGCAAGCAGGACAAGCAGATGAACACGAAGAAGGGAACTGCAACAGAACTCGTTTTACAGTACTACAGAAGGTGACAATCAAGTCATTTTGTCACTTCCCATGCTTTATAATGAGATGTATCTCCAGGTAAGAGAGGGTCATGGTTTTTAAAAAAACTATTGCTAAGTCTGTAAATTACAACTTTTACTGGATTTTAACTCTTTACATTTGTAAGAGGGTCAGCTTTTCAAAACATGTTCACTTCTATTAGCTCATTGGTTACTCCCAACATTCCTTTTCTATAGGTGAGGACAGTGCTCCATACAGAGGCTAAATGATACATTATACAGTTAGTTGGAGGCAGAGCTGAGTTATAACATGGGCCTCCTGACCTCAATTCCCCTCCACTGGACCACACAGCCAAATGTATGGCCTTCAGCCACCAGAGTCACCACCGAGCACTGGTAGGTGCTTGTGGGCTCTATCTAGAATAACGATCATAGTATTATTCTGTTTTCATGCTGCTGATGAAGACATAGCTGAGAATGGGTAATTTATAAGGAAAAAGAGGTTTAATGGACTCACAGTTCCATGTGACTAGGGAGGCCTCACAATCATGGCAGAAGGTAAAAGGCACATCTTACATGGCAGCAGGCGAGAGAGAATGAAAACGAAGTGAAAGGGGTTTCCCCTTATAAAACCATCAGGTCTCATGAGACTTATTCACTACCACAAGAACAGTATGGGGGAAACTGCACCCGTGATTCAGTTATCTCCCACCAGGTCCATCCTACAGCACATGGGAATTATGGTAGCTACAATTCAAAATGAGATTTGGGTGGGGACACAGCCAGACCATATGAATCACCATCTAAATGAGAATCAGGTACCTTTTCCAATCCTGCAGAACCTCGGAGAAAGAAATTCCATTCAGCATCAGTTAGGGTTCCTTGCTGACGCATCATCTCAACACAGAGCATAAAGCTGTAGATGAGTTTATGTTGTTCAAAAAGTCCTCTTGAAACATTGACATAAGCAGTTAGGAGAGTTTGTTCTAGCAGTATGTCCAGGCGCTGTTGTAGATTTTCCGTCTTTACAGAAGTTTCAATGGTGGTATTGAACAACTGTGTGAAAGAGAGCTCTATCAATGTCTCTGATTTAATTCATTCTCTGTAGAGAAGAAAAAATCTCTGTCTCCCTTGTTCGCATTCAGTGAGTAAACGGCAGCACGGAGATGAATACAGTAAGTCCTCAATGTGGCCGATAGGTTCTTGGAAACTGAGGCTTTAAGTGAAATTATGCACAGCAGGTCTTTGAATTATGAACAACCTTGCATTCAAAGTCATTTTGCTATTACACTGATGAGACCAAAAAAATTGATTTCATTATATGTCATTTTGCTTAACAAAGTCACAGTTTCCAAGAACCTATTCTCAGCATTAAGTGAGGACTTACTGTACTATGAAAAAGTCTAGAATTCATCCCAAAGTGATATATGATATTTGTTTTCTACACTCCCCTTTCTCTCCTATTTTTAAGAAATGGACTAATGCCAAGTTCTTGACAATATTCAAAAGCATCATCTTGATGTGAGACATGAAACTTTGGAAAATGGTGGTGAGCTGGCAGGACCAGTTTTTTAACATCTTCAACCCAGATTTGATAAACCCTGCATTTTGGGGTGAGAGATGTAAGAGCAAGGTAAGCTCATGCTTATTTCTTAGCACTTCCCCAAGATAATTCTTAGGGTGTAGAAATAATGTGCTAGAATTTTCCTTGAAATTTAAGAGAAACTGATTTTGGTGATTTTAAAGGAGATTTCTACCCTGTTTCCTACCTGTAAATTTTGAAAGGAGAATCACTACCACAAAGGTGCCCCATATTATAAAGATATTGGTAAGGCAGTAGAGATGGTGGCATTGAGGGATTAGGCCTGACGTAGTCCTACCCATTTTCTGCAACTTCTAAGTGGAGTGGAAGGAAGATCAAAAATTTCTAAAGGTCCCAAGCTGTGTGAGGAAGCTGAGCAGAGCCTGAATATGTGGCCTTCCATGGAAGTCATGGAACAAGGAGGGATCTTGCAGCAGAGACTCAGGGAAGTCCCACCAGGGCCCCGAGGAGCATGTGCTTGTGGTCTCAGGATCTGTAGCCTGAGGGGTAAAGTGGGAAGTGAGGTAGTACCTGCCCAATCCCTGGGATCAAGATATATGTTCATGGTGAGGGCAGACCGATCAAAACAGACTGGTAGCTAGAAGCCCGCTAAGGACCAAAGCAGATCAGGGTCAAGACGTGTCCTCCACTCCTTCCTAGAAATACTGTGCTGAGGCTGTGCAGGCCTCTCCTACCCGCCTCTTCTACTAATAGGATGGAGCACAAAGGGAAAGGGCCTGATTGTGTCAGTCTCCTCACCAAAACAGGTCTCCATTCCCCCACGTTAAAAGGGCTTAGAGGAAGCCTACAATTATTGTAGGGAATTGGGAAAGTCCTTGTTGATTCTCCTGAAAGTTTGGTTGACAAGGGTAATAGAGTTTTGTTTTAACACACTCAGGAGAAAAGAAGACTCAGCCCTCTTTAACAACCTGACAAGAAGCATAGAGGTTAAAGCCCAGTGAATATGTGATAAATATGGTACCAAAATACAACCGGTAAATCTCAAAATTCTCTAAAGAATTTCACTGTGAAATGGGTTTGGTAGAGGGTATCCTGGCCAAGACTGTCATCTACAAATACGTTTTGGATTTCTGGTTTCCCTTCTAATCTGTAGAACTCCAGAGCTTTGATGATTCATCCAGTATCGCTTTTACTTTCAGCCCAAGATATTTTAGGGCCTTTTCACTTTTATTTCTTGAAGGAGATTTTAAAACCTTGAAGAGCATAAATTCCAAAACACCCAGGATAAGAAAAGTATTATCAAAAAGGATTTAGGTGGCATTACAGGATTTGGTAATCCTTATTTTGCTTGCGTTAATACCTGCCAACTAAAGGAAGGGAGCAGAGATATGAGAACCCAAACCCTTGCCTCTAGGAATTGAGGTTTGAACCCAGCACAGATGGCTTTTAAAGGCTGCTAAAATGAACATCTTGTTGAAAGACAGCCCAGGCCTATCTAAACAATTTGACTCCCATTTCTTTCAATTCCTCATTTCCATTCTCTCCTGGAAACAGAAATTGTTCCTGGACCTCCAACCATTATCAAGGGTACTAAATAAGACCTCTAGATAAAAAATCAAGCTGTCATAAGAATTGTTTGACTATTTGAAGTTCAAGAAGAATTGTTGGAATGTTATATGCAGAGATCAAAACAGACTCTTCATTCATGAAACACTCATGAGCATTATGTGGCGCTAAGCACCATTGGGGATATGGGATGGGTAAGGCTTCATTTTTGCCTCCTGGGAGTTCAGGCTCCAGCAGGAGAGAGAAGAAAACCACACAAGGCAACGTGGGGTACATTATGCCAGATGAAGCATATCAAATGTTTTGGATAAAGACTGCTGAAACTGTTTGCTACTCTTCCCATTGAGAGGTGGAGTCTAAATCTCCTTCTCTCAAACCTGGACTATCCTAGTGATTTGACTGACCACAAGACTGTAGCCGAATTGATGTTGCATGAAATCCAAGATTAGGTCAGAAGTCCTAGAGCTCCCGTCTTGGTTTCTTTGAACATTTACTTTGGGGAGAGGCCCTCTTGGAACCCAGTTGCCCTGTAGTGAGAAACCCAAGCCACATGGAGAGGCCACTGCAGGTGCCATGGGTGACAGCCCAGCCATGTGAGTCAGCCATTTTGGACGTTCATTCCAGTCAGCCTCTAAATGTTTGCAGCCCCAGTAGCAGGCTTTGGTGGAGAAGGTGGCATTTGGGTTGGGAGGAAGGGCATTCCAAACAGAGGGAGTGTCAGAAACACAAAAGCATCCAGTTAATCTTGGGAATGTAAATGGATCAATTTGGTTGTTGCACAGGAGTTGTGAGAAACGTGACTGGAGAGATGAAACAGGGACAGGCTGGATGTGGCTTTGAATTCCAGGCTATAGAGTCTAAATTGTGTTGATGGGCAATATCTGTGAAAATTCATTTAGGACCTAGGTCTGTGGAACAGTGTTTTGAAAACACTAGGCCTAGACTGGCCTGGCTTCCAGGTGTGTGAGCCAGCATTGACTATACAGGGGCATATAACAGGAAATAGAGATGTGTTGCAGGGAAAGAGTTTTATGTTTACTATTCTCCACTGTTTTCTACTGAGTGGCACGTATGGAGGGAGAGGCCTTTGTTGACTGAGTTATGTCATGGGTAGGGTATAAGCATGGATGAACAGAAAAGTAAGAGTAAGTTAAACTGTTTTGCCCAGAAAAGGAGATAGCACTGCCAAGAGGGAGTAGGAGCTGATGGGAAGACTGAGCCTGGGAGGCTGTGGTTGGGTGGGCTGAGAGGAGGCCACTGGCACCTGAGAGAACCTCTGGAGTGAACCTCTGGAGAGAACCTCTGATGCAGATGCTTGGTAAGTCTTGCTGTGTAGTGAGTAATGCAAACTCTCTGTCTTCCCTGGAAGTCTTTAGCAAAATTGACATCGCCTGCTGAAGCTTTGTGGCATTGAATTTGCTTTTGGAAAAAACGAATGCTGCTACAAAGAGGATAAGGAGTGAAAACATCCTACTCACGAGACAGCAGATGAAATTCAACTGTGAATATGAGATAAAGAAGAGAGGGTGAAATAAAACAAGAGTCTCATAGTCATATGGTGAAAGTGGGACAGAAACAAAGGAAAGAGATCCCTCTAAGTCAAAAGTGGGCGCAGGGAAGGGGGAGGGACAGGTTGTTGCATAAAAGGTTTGGGAAATAAAAGATACTTAAACCAATTTGGTTAAGGTCACTGCTGTTCGGACTTGAGATACAACAGAAAATACTAACAGTGGAAGGAATCTAGATTACTGCAGAGGATGTCTAAAGAAATGGGACTGAGCTGTGACTCTTAAGAAAGAAAGGCAGGCATGAAGGAAAATAAGCATGCTAGTTAGTTAAGGAAGTCAGGAGCAAATGAAACTTGCAAAGCAGCTTTCTTCTCTTCCTCTACAGTGTTCTGTGCATACTGGGCAATCAAATCTTTAAAAAAATTCTAAATTTTATATATACACACACACACACACATATATATATATAATAATCACTAACTCTATTCTAAAAACCGCATCTTTGGAAGGGCTGGTGAAACCATTCTTTTTTTAAAATTAAAAAAAATTTTTTTTTGAGACAGAGTCTTGCTCTGTCACCCAGGCTGGAGTACAGTGGCACGATCTTGGCTCATTGAAACATCCACCTCCTGGGTTCAAGCAATTCTCCCGCTCCAGCCTCCCGAGTAGCTGGGATTACAGGCACCCACCACTATGCCTAGCTAATTTTTGTATTTTTCGTAGAGATGGGATTTCCCCATGTTGGCCAGGGTAATTCCTGACCTCAGGTGATCCACCCACCTCGGCCTCCCAAAGTGCTGGGATTACAGGTGTGAGCCACTATGCCTGACTGGAACCACTCTTGAACCATGTGTGCACCTGGGAGATTCTACCTGATAACTAGACTTATGGCTTGTGTGAGGTAAGAAGTAATTCAACAGGTGTAATAGAGGCCAAAGAGATGACTTTCATTAACAACAAGAACACACTTACCTGTTTAAAATATTTTAATGAATACTGGTACATAGGATCTATTTCTGAGAGGCTTGCAATGACAAAGTACATTACAGAGCCTTGAGTGGCCACTGGGCGATACTTCTCACGAGCCACATTGATCATCTGCTCAGTGGACTCTGCTTCTTCCAGCCTGGTTTTAATGGCACCAGAAGTGATCTGAATAAACATACAATAACAAGTTCTTAGGGATCTGTTCCAGAAAAATAGTGGGACATCTGGAATGTATCCAGTTAGGTCTAGGGAAGAAATAAGGATAGAATGAGTTGGTGATTATAGTAAGGGGTCCCCAGGTGGAATGACTGAGTCTCAGAGTTCATTGACCTTTCTTCCTTCCAGAATTAGGAATAGGCAGAGGGCGGCAAGCAATACAAGTAGCTTTGAAAACATAGAAGCAGCACGTCTCTGAGACTCAATCTGAGTTACTCCTGCAATGCAAACACTATCGTAGCACTCTGAATTCCTCCCGAACTTCTTTGTGAGCAGTCCAGGGCTCGCACAATGAATGAAGGAATGAAAGGAGAAGGGATACCCAGGAAAATGCCCGAAAGAAGGGAGTAGAGAGTGGCTTGGAGGCAGTGAGTGGCACCACATCCCTCCCTGGAATAACAAGGGTGACTAATATTCTTGTTCTTTACCTAGTATTCCCAGGTATAGACATATGGGATAGAAGCTGTTGTTTGTGGAGGATTATAACCCTAAGTGAGTTAGAGATGCTTTCAAGGTCTTTTGGTTTTCTGCATTTTGGGTTTGTGGGTCTGGGGAGCCCTCTGCCCAGTGTACTTTCAAGATTCGCTTCTCTGTATCTCTCAGTCTCTCTCTTTCTACTGCTGTTTGTCCCTGCCTCCTCTCCCTTCCCCCACTGTTTTTCAGAGGTGGATATCCCTAGGTTGGGAGATCCTTTTGTCTCTAGAAAGTCAAACGGTCTAGAGCAGGGACCATGAAAAATCATCAAGGGAACTGACTGCTCAGTATTTGCTCCACCAAAGCTAAAAGGAATCATCAAGTTCCTGTATAGACCAGCGCTTTTCAATGGAAATAGAATGTGAGCCACATAATCATACATTTTCTAAATTTATTAAAAATAAAAAATAAGTGACATTAATTTTAATAATATATTTTTAATATACCCCAAATATTTTATCAACATATAATCCACATGAAAGTTACTGAGATATTTTGTTTCTTTGGATTTAGCCCTTGAAATCTGTTGTGTATTTTACACTACCAACACATCTTAATTCAGGTTAGCCATATTTGAAGTGCTCAACGGCCACCTATGGCTAGTGGCTACCTACCATAATAAAGAGTGTAAGTCTAGACTGTTTACCCCAGCCCACCAGGAAAGGGAGGGGAAGGATTCAGTGCAGACGCTGTTTCCAGGAATCAGAAAGTTCAAACTCTCCCTGTAATATCCCCTCAGGGAGCTGAAGGGGAAATAAAGGGCAGAATTGAGTAGGAAACCCCTATCTTAATATGGGACTCAACTAAAGCTTTCAAATCCAAGTAGAAAAAAAAAAGTTGATATGGGAGCAGCTGGTGGATCATGCAGGCCCACTAACAAATAATTCTTTATGTCTTAGGGAGCACAAGGCACTGATAATGTAGAACCCAGGGCTAAAGAGAAGGAAAGTGGATCGTTTTCTTCTCTTTGCCAAAGAATATTAGAATACTATATGCCTCTGTTGAGTTTGGCAACTACTTGTAGACACTATGCCCTACAGACTTGAGGTTTCAGCCACGTTTAGAGAATATAAGACATATTTTTATGTAAGGATTCTGAGAGTTGAGAGGCATATAAACTGTAGCCAAGAAGTGGCAGGAAATGCAGCCAAGGATCAGGTTGATCCCTGCTCTATAGAAAGGATGACTCCAAGGCAGCTCCTTGCAAAACAAATAAACCAGCTTATAGATAAAGATGGCAGTCATTGCATGTGTATCTACCTTCACTTCCTATTGAAGCTACATTAAAATTGTAGGAAAAGGCTTAAAAATGCAGAGTAAACCCATAAAGATAGGAAGAATGGGAGAGGAAATATCAGTGAATTTTGGGAACTGGAAAGCAGACAGAAGGGTGGCAATGATTTAGCACACCCATAAAAATGGATTCCTACACTGGCAAAAGTGGATAGCCATGAACTCACCCAATTTATAAAACAGAATCCTTCTCAAAGGCTTAAGAATTAGTGCAAGAAGCACTCTTGGAAGTGGGAAGGGCTTAAAATAAGAATTGGTGGTAGGACTTCCTAGGTCATCTTCCTACGCCACTCACGGCCAGGGGTTTGTCCCTTTCTCATCCTGGCAGAAAAAATAGAAATTTCCTTTGGAGAAAGTAAAACAGAGGGATTTTTGATGGAAGGAAGGAACTAAAACAGAGTGACTGGGTGACTGTATGCACACTGGATGCTGAGACCCTAGCCCTTCTTCTCCTCTCAGACCCCAAATACTTAGAGCCAGATCTTCACCCTTAGGCAATGTTAACATTTATTATAATCAGGATATAACTACAGTGGGAGGCCAGAGGATGGGAAGGGGTGTGTGTGTGTGTGTGTGTGTGTGTGTGTGTGTGTGTGCTGGGGTACAGATAACAGTTAAGATGCAAAATGAAAGTAGCTGCTTTGGCCGGCACAGTGATTCATTCCTGTAATTCCAACACTTTGGGAGGTCAAGGCAGGGGGATTGCTTGAGGCTAGGAGTTTAAGACTAGCCTGGGCAACATAGTGAGACACTGTCTCTACAAAAAATAAAAAATAAAAAAGTCAAAAATTAGTTGGGCATGGTGTTGTGCATTTGTGGTCCCAGATATTCAGGAGGCTGATGGAGGAGGATGGGTTGAACCCGGGAGATAAAGGCTGAAGTGAGTCATGATCATGCCACTGCACTCCAGCCCGGGTGATAGAGCGATACCCTGTCTCAAAACAAAACAAAACAAAACAAAACAAAATAAAAAACAAAAAACAAAAAATCAAGAAAGCTGCCTCTGTGAAGGGAGGCATGGGTGGCTGGTGGGAAGAGAAGGCAGGGAATGCTATTTTTCGTAATAAGCCTTATAGAAATATTTCATTCTTTAAAGAGTTGGCATGTAAAACTTTGCTAAAAATAAAAACAAGTGGGTTAACAGACAACTGCCAGGAATAAAAATCCCAAGGAAGAATAAACGAGAGGAGGATAAAGAGATCTATGAACAAAAAAACTAAAGGAGAGAGGAAGAAAACAGAGGCCCCAAATTACTTGCTTATTACTGTTTTAATACTGCAATCTCAAGGGCGGTACAATATAAAGCAGTCAACCAGTTTTGATGTCAACAAAAGCAAAAAAGATAACCTATGTGCTTCTGGCTTAATAAAGTCAAGGGGATTTTTTTAAGTAAATTATTTTGTTTCTCACAAGTGGATGAAAATCATTTTGTAAGCTGTGTTCTTAGTAAACACTCCTTAAATGATGGTTTGAATCTAAGAAATAATTTACTGAAGAATTTTAAGTTTAAGGTAAAACTTCATCTTACTATCAACACGTTTTTGCTGAGTACCAATTGTGTGCAACCACCATGTGTAATCCTTGGAGAAGGAATATCAAAATGAACTATTCACAGATTCCCACTGCAGAGAACTTAACAACCCAAGAGAAGAGATAAGCCATGTAATTGGATAACTGTGACACAGGGTAAATAGTGACAAGTGCTGTAGTAGAGATTCAGATAAGACACTACAGAAATTCTGAGGAGGAGGAAGTTAGTTCCAACTGGGAATATCAGAGAGAGGCTTCCTGCAGGTGATGGCATTCATATGAAAGTTTGTTGTGTTTGTTCCTTTCAATTTACATCTTGTCCCAGTTCTTTACATTATGTGTTTTATTTAAGAAATGCAGACAAGACAAGAGGAGCGGTGGTCTACAGTTTCTCCAAGTTTCTGTGGTTGGCAAGGAGCCCTGACAGGCAGGCACCCATCTGTGTGTCCATGGAAGCCCAGTGTGGCCCCCGTCTTGCTTTAAAAGCCCTTACAGGACCCTCAAAGGCTGTAGTTATAACTTTTGAAGTAACATACTTTCCATAAATACTAAAAATATTTTACTTGCCTTTGAATCCTGCAGTGTGTCAATAAGTTCTTCATTGTCCAGAATATTTCCTTCAGAGGTAAAGAGCATTCTCAGGATTTTCTGTTCGATAGTTTTCAACTGGTTTTTATCAGTGTTGATCCTCACGATGAGCTTGATTCTTTGTTCTTCCAACTTGGGTTTTTCAAGTCGCACCACATCACTAAAACCAAAGTTCAGATACCTAAATTATGTCTCTGCCAGTGCCTCAAAGTTGCTTCTATTTTTCTTTCTCTGTTTGTAATTGTTCTTATTCTTAATACTATTTAGCTGAGCATTAATGCTGATGGCCGAATCTGAATGCATACCATGTCTCTTTTGCTGGGTTTACACAGAAGCTTCTGACTCAGCTACATGTCAATTCTGATCCTCTATCTTGTATTTTAGAGATGCCTGCTACTGAAGTTTCCATACCTTCCGCTCATCTCTTAGGAAGACCTGCTTAATACTTGATCTCTCTAATCATTCAATTTCTATCTCTAACGCTTGCTTGTGCTAAGAAGAAAATGGTGCCTGGAATATTTATGATGCCTTGAATATTCTTTCTGTACTAACATGGGAGATTCTGAAATCACATCACCTTCATGAAATGATTTTTGATTGCATATGAAAAAGGAGCCTTACCTCCAGCTTCATCCTTGTATAAACACGTGAATTTATATCTCCCTTCACTTGTTCTTTCACAATTTGCTCCCAGTCTCCATTTGCAAGAGTTAATCTTTATTAAGCACTACTCAATGCAATGCACCTTGCTAAGAGTTTTATGTGGATTATCTATTAATCCTTTGAATGCCCCCATAAGGTGGGCACTGTGGTTATCACCCCCAGCTTGCAGATGCACAAACAGACTCTAGTGGGTCACTTCCTGAGATCACATGGCTATGAGAAGCTGGGCTTGTGCCTGGGTCTGCTGGCTCCAGCATGCACTGTTACTAGTGTGCTGCCTCAAGTAACAACCCATTATTTACTTGTTACATGCAGAATTCAGACACCTTGAAATTATTATATAAAGAATATTAAAATTCATAACCTCAAATTCAATTGTTTAAATAAGTTTTTCAGAAGACAGTAGTTTAAGGAATATTTTAAGATAAAGGTGAGCTCAGGAAACAGTTTGAGAGAAACATTAATCGAATTAGTCAAGTTAAGAATCAAAAGAGCCTGCCAAAAGTCAGGAGGTGAGTTAGAGTTTCTGGAAATAGAAAGGAAGACAGAAGGAGGTGGACAGTCTGGGTGGCTGAATGGAATTCCTTGAAGTTGAAAAATGGCCTTGTGCTGCCTCAGAAGGACTAAGGCATTGTGGTTGGCATTCTCCAGGAGGCAGGGAGGTGAACTGTGGTGTTCAAAATTGAGAGGATCTGAGGAAAATTGCAATGAGCAATTGAGCACAATGAGTATCACTGCCTGTTCAGGAGCTCAGCAGAGCAGAGGGCAACTGAAATAGGTGACGGCCTGTCAGAACACAGGCAGACCCAGCTCCATCCTCACCCTGGCTGAGGGCTGTTAGCTTCCCTTTTCAGTGCCATCAATCTAGGAGAAATAGCAGGGAGATACTGCACACCATGACTGAGTCCCAGCATTTCCTGTGTTCTTATCAGGGCACTTTTCCTTCTTGTCCCAGGCAGCTTAACATGCTGGGAGCTTAGTGACACAGCTGAGCTTAACTATGCACAGGAATAAACTGGTATGCAAAATGTTCAGCCAAGTCCTTACAATGTATTCATAAAATATGGTGATATAACCTTTAATTGGAAAGAAGTTATCCTAGTGGAAGGTAAGCAAGTTAGCAGCTAGCAGAATAATTCCTAAAACAAGCTAGAGAAATAAGACTCAAGCTCATTAGTGACAACATGGGTAAGTCAGGATGATCTTGACTTGAATATAAGGGATAATTCTTTTGAACATGGGTCTAAATTATATGTTTCTTTATAGTGAATAAAAATACATATGTATGTATTCCTGTATACATACATATGTGTATATATCTGTTGGTTAAATATATATTAAATATAAAATTAATTTTGAATCAACCTCAATGTTATTATTTTAATAAATATTTTAAAAATTTGTTTCCTGAACCTTTTGGCTAATTTTGATGATTAATATTAATAACTCATAATCCAATATTTGGGAAATAGGGATTTAATCACATACAGAATATACTAAGAATACATATATACACACACACATATATTTGAAGTGGACAGTTAAATACACTAAGAAACCACCTAAAGACCGGTGAAGCTGGAACAAATATGTTTGGATTAGCTGCTTTTTCACAGGTATGGACCACTGCATTTCTAGGAACAACAGAAAGACTGACTTTGTTCACTTGCCCAAGATGGAAATCCTAGTGAAGGGAAGAGGCAGGGCTGGGCTGCCAGCCTGGTTCAAACGGTGGGGGTGGGGAATTAAGGGTCTATCCTTGACGTCCTTGAGAAGACAGCAGACAAGATCAGCTGCTCTGAGCAGCTATGAAAACGGTAAAGAACTTGGCCACTTACTTGTATTTTTTTTGATTAAGGTTTCATGTGTAGCGTTTTCACACAGCAGAAAATTTTCTTTGCCAATATTTCTAAACAAAATATTTAGGAAACCCACGACACTCCCTTCCCTCCCCCCAACTCCCTGGTTTTTTACCTTAACAACTGATCCTCCAGACCTGATTTTGTTACAGTGAAATTGATAATGGTAACTTTAATGCATACCTGGAAGAGAAGCACAGAGTGCATAAAAATGCTTAAATGCAAACTAATGAAATACCTTTCTTTATTAGAACACGGCTCATTACTACCCAGGTGGATGTATCTCAGGTCTAATTGCACACACACCTATCCCCACACATACTTCAGGTGTAATGTCGCTTATTAAATCCTCATATTTTTCGCTGCCAATATGAGTAACAATCTTGTTCCTCAGACACCACAGTTACAGAATCCTAGATCGTGTTTTATGGAAAGGTGAGCCAGTGAAGGATTAAAAGCAGTATTTTGGAATTGATAGCTTGGGTTCAAATTTGAGCTGCACCCTTTAGTGACTGTGTCATCTTGGACAAGCCACTCATCTGTGCTGAGCTTTAGTTTCTGATATTTAAAAATTTGGGTAATTTGGGTAAAACTCATAGGGTAGCTGTGAGAACTAAATGAGGTAATAAAATCACTTAGTTACTTATGACGCAATGTGTCTTTGCTTGAAAGAAGGTATTATTGATAATAAACAAAGTTTTATATATTTTGTCTAATAACATTTTAATGAAAAATTATTACTATAATATATTCCGACATCACTCGATAAGTCAATAGCAAAAACCAGTAAGTATAACAAGGGTGTGTGAATGAACACATGGCATTGTACTTCAAGGATTTTGTAATATGGTAAATTACATATTGTAATTTTGTAATATTTATCTTATTACAAAATCCTTGAAGTAGGATTGATCTCTTTTTAGAGATGATTGACTTGAGGATCCTGGAATTGGGATAATTTGACCTCGTGACAGAGCTAGGCTTGGGTCTTGTGGGCAATACACCCTCTCAAAAGTTAAATAAGTGAGAAATCAAAGAGTGAAACTTGGCACATTGGTCGCACTTCTTTTTTGGGGGCAGTATCCGTCACTTCAAGCATTTATCATGTCTTTGAGTTAAAAACATTCTAATTATGCTCTGTTAGTTATTTTAAAATGTACAATACATTATTATTGACTGTAGTCACTCTGTTGCACTATTATATACTAAATCTTATTTAGTCTATCTAACTATATTTTTGTCCCATTAACTATCCCTACCTTCCTGCTCCCCTCCATTCTCCTTCCCAGCCTCTGGTAATGTTCGTCACTTTTCTAAACTCTGAAATGGGACTTGGGACATGAGCCCTGGTAGTGGCTGTGTAATTAAACTCCTTGAGGCTGACGAGGAAAATCCTAACTTAAACTTTCAATGATATTTCCCCATCTTATTCAAGAAGTGTGTCAATTTCATTCAACCTGAACACATCTGGTGAAGACAGATAGCTATGAGCAATTTAACAGTTAAAATGAAAGTGACACTCTTTGGAATGGTATATTTAAGGATATTTTTGGGAGGGTTGTGGTGGTAAAGAAGTAAAGTTCTGAGGTCAAGTTCCTTTCCTAGGTAAGAGCCTGCAGAGTGCACAGATGTGCCAGGAGCTGGGGCAGCACCTGGGCATGTGAGGGGGGTTGTGGCCAGGGAGAGCCCCATGGGAGATCTGTGGGAGGGGCAATGGAGTTCCAGCTGTCTTCATTTCTGTTGCAACTACCTTGGACACTGTAGTACTAGAGTAGGGGTTCTTCTAGAGTCTTCTGAGTCTCAGGGACGTATGTATGGAGTGGAGCTCACACAGCTCCTCTCAAAGAATCTAAGAGCATGAGAAGGGGACAAGATACCCCCACCACCCATAACTCTAAGTGTAGACACTGGACCTCTAGATCATGATTCTCTAGTGTTGTCTTGTTCCTAGAGTTTTCAAATGGGTGACCTCTTCATTTGGGCACATATGCTGTGGGCATTTGCACATTTAAATAATGACACCTCCTCCTCCCCCACACCCCAGGCCCATGGACTCTCAACTAAGCTCTAATTCATTCATTAGTCGTAATAACAGGGACAAAAATAGTCTTTGCTGATGGAGGAAAGAGAGAGTTTAAAAGGGGGATGTCCTGTGTTTAGAAGGAGTGGCTGTGGACCAGGAGGGAGATGGTGAGGGCACTGGAGAGGTGTGCAGTGGGGTGAGACAGAGCATCGGCCTAGGCCCCAGTGGGCAGGGGCTTGCAACCTAACTAGATGGTGATGACAAGGGTGATTGGAATCAGAATCAAAGCTCAGAAGAGAAGCAAGAATGGAGGATGGTGGAAGAGAGGGGAGTGTATAGAAGACAGGGGAGAATGGGGGAGAGCCTTCCCTTTGGGTGGGAGCCCATCAAACTTCAGAGATTCATTACACCATGATAATCCAGTTAAGCTGAGAATTCCAGACCAGTAGTTCATACCTCAGGCAGATAGTGGGGATTTGGCATTTTGGTTGTCATATAGAACCTAAAGTTTTTATCATAATCAATGTCTGAGTCTCCAAGACGGATGAGTAGTCGGCCACCACTGATAAAAATTTGTTTCAAAAGAATGGGTTCTAGAGCTGGATCCAGGGTTTCCTTAAGCTTAGAAATTAAAACAAAACAGGACAACACAAAAAGAAGCAATTAAAATAGATAGCATCAACTTCACAAAATTCCTTAGGCCTCAAAATGTACTGTGAATGAACAATTTTCCAGTGATCTGATGGATATTTATTAACATCCTCACACTACCTCTAACAGTACCTATTTTCCAGTGAGCATTTTATTAGCAATCTAAGGAAATAAGAGCATCTGAAGGCAATATATCTATTTACATTAATCTTACACACTGTTCATTTCCATGAGAAGAAGAGAGAAGCTGGGTAGATTAAATCATTGTGGGTTGGACTTCAACAGGCCCCACACAAATGAAGATCTGTTCATTTTCATGGTTGTTTAAAACCAGGGATTGGCAAATGACAGCCTGCAGGCCAAATCTGGCCCCGTGTGGCCATTTTTCTATGACTCTTGAGCTACAAATGGCTTTTATCTTTTTAAGGGTTGTAAAAACATACAAACAAAAAAACACTAAACCAAAACAAAACAAAGAAGAATACGCACAGAGACTGCATGAGGCCTGCAAAAACTGAAATATTTACTCCCTGGCTCTCTACAGAAAAAGTCTATAAACCCCTATTCTACATGACCATTATGCCTTTTTCCTCAAAGCGAATCTGACTGTTGGTAGGAATGTGGGCATGCAGACATTGCCCAGGGATCCCATCAGAAACATCTTTATGTCAGGACATATGTGATGGGGTCCCATAGCCTGGGGCTTTCAAAATTTGACTGTCATCCATTGTAACACATCTATTTTAACATTGTGACATGGTACCCACACATGTAAATTCTTCAAACAAAAGTTTATGAGTTAAAATTTACCTTTATTCAATATAATTTTGGGATTAAAAAAACTCTATTTCATTTGAAAATGTTGATTGAGATGGTCACAACTGATTTCATGCCCATGAATGGGTGGAGACAAAGTTTGAATACATCACCCTAGCAAAGTAGAAAACAGCTAGGTGTATAACGCTGATGACCCCAAGGCACAGAGAGTGGGGAAGGACCAGTCAGAGTGTCCTGTTTCTGGCTGGGGCTCTGACAAGGGCCCATCCCCTCTCCCAAGAGCACTCCGCTACAGTTAAAACACTCTCTGTCCAGAGGCAGAACATCACAGAAAACCTTTGGTCCGCTGCCATGAAAGAGGAAAGTCCCTCAGGATCTCGCATGTCACGAAGTAAACCTGAGTTCAGGAATCCAGTCTGGGGCTAAAATACCCATGCCAAAGTTTTCTAGAGACTTCATTCTCTCCTGTGACTGGGATCCATTACAGAACCACCCTCGTGTTGGTCAAGGCCAAGCTTGGTCACACTGAGGCCCCTTGTGCTCTTTGTGGCTTGAGTGGCGAATAGTGTAACTTGCGGATTTCCTAGGCAGGCAAGGCTGCTTGGATAGTTTATGTAACCCTTCCATGCCTCAGTTTCCTCACTGACAAAACGGAATAACAATAGTAACTATCTTGTGATGGGGCAGTGAGGATTAATGAGTTAACATACATAAAATACTGAGAACAGAGTCTGGCATGGAGTGAACATGCAATAAATATTAGTTAATGCTAACATATTAATTACAATTCCTCGTCATCATGCAGGTGCTGCAGCTAAACTGCCCTGGGCCATGGCCTTTTTGAGCTTTCTTTCTTTCTGATGAAGCAGTGATACTTCTAGGCACGGTTAAACTGAGACTCAACTCACAGCCCATGTTTTTGCTCGCTCGTTCTTTTATTACTTATAGGAAAATAAACCATGATCATTAACCAATCTCTTTTGTGCCCAGGGCCTTTGTGCTGTTCCCTTTGCTTGGGAAGTCCTTCGCTCTAAGCCTGGCATATGGCTGAGCCCATCACATAGGTCACAGCTTAAATTACTCCCTTTACCCACATATCTAAATCAGACCAGCCTTGGTGGCCTACCCATTGGTGACTATACCAGCCCCCTCTTTACCCTTTCAAATCTTTGATCACAAGTTTCTTCCCCTCCCTCCCTCTCATTTCTTCTCTCTTTCTTTCTCTGTTTACTGTCTCTGTCCCCACCTCGATTGTAAGCTATCGAGGACAGAAACCACATTTATATTTTTTGCCACTGGTTCTCAAATAATGTTTGAATGAGGGAACAATTTAAAAAACATCCATTCTTGCAATGATAGCCAAAGAAATGGAGCACCTAGACTCAACAAACAACACTGCCCTCCCTCCTCCTCCTTCTTCTTCTTTTTTTTTTTTTTTAACAAAAGTTCATTCTTTTCTAATTCACTCAATCCAATTCTGACTTACGCCCAAGTAAAAATTAATGTTTATACCCACTAGAATGTTTTACTGGCTTCATATAATTAGTGTATGTACATAATCCTGACTGCACTACTGTTGTGAATTTTCAGGGCAGCTCACCATCAAGGGCCATAATGAGGCCTGTGAAACAGCAGTGTCGGGAAACAGAGGCCAGCTCTCTTAACACTAAAACAATGTCTGAAAGTCAACAGGTCCTCCCTCCTACCCCTCTTGCAATGTGATAATGTATTGTTTAAGGAGAAGAGGCATTGGTTTGACCAATTTGAAGATGGAGTTGACTGGTGCCTTTAGCAAGACGGGGATGTGGCCTATATAGGATTCCAGATATGATTTGAAAGTTGGGAACTAACATGAGAAAAGGAAGTGAAAATCAAACCTCTTCCAGTAAGACAGGTAAACCAAGTCGGATTGAATTCTCGAGTATTCGTAAGAAATTACTATCTGTAAGCTTAATGATTTTTAAACCACTTTTGCTTTCCTTGTTCCTTATCCAACGGTTTGCCTGTTTGAAAAAGCACAGAGCAGAACATTTCCTTCAGAGCATAATAAATGGCTAGAAAGCGAAAGCTTTAGAAGAAAGTGTGGAAATATTATTCAATCTAGAAACAAATTGGAAATATATAAACTATACTACCCTGCCTCCCGGCAATAAAGACATCTTTTAAGCCCAATGTTTGGGACTCTTCTTTTTGTTCAGATGTGGAAGAAATAAAGAAAAGAGTCATCTGGGAACAGAGATCATGCTTATGGTATTCAAGTTGGTCTCCCTTGCTTACACAGTGGCTCCCTCTTCCAAACCCTATTTAGTACAACATGATCCATGAACTTAGGGAGTCAGAAAATGGGATGCTGTCAATTGTAAATTCCAGTCAGGCTTGCTCTAATATTCGATCATATCCTGACTTCAATCTCATTCCTCAGACCTTTTAGGAACAAGGACTACAGAAGAAGCAAGATCTGTGGATTTCTGCCCTCACAGAAAACAAAAAACAAATGGTCAGTCCCCTAAACAAAACCAATCAAAATCAAGTATGGGAGAACTTCAATTCTTTCTTTCTTACTTTCTCATCTACAAAATGAGGGAATTGGACTAGACTTTAACACTCTCTTTTGGGTCTAAATCTCCACATATGTTAACTCTAAATCTCAAAGTACATTGAAGCCCACTTTTATATTTTTTAATAGTTAGCTCAACATTAAGCAGAACCAAAAGCCACTCTCTGAAGCATTTGCTACACACCTGATCTTGGGGATCAATCATCAAAGGCCATCGTCTGCCTTGAGTAACCAAAATGCCATTTTCTGTTGATATCAAGTCACGGGGCAGCCCATCAGTGTTCCACTGCCGTATCTCGTAGGGATCTCCAAGAATGTTAATGAGACTGAAGGAAGGATCGATTGGGATCTCCAGAGACTGACAGTCCTGGATCCAACACTCTATAAGCTGCAGAAGGAGGACGGATTACTTGAGTAGAGCCAGGAAAACTCAGTAAACGAGGGCACATGCAAAATGTCGTGGGCAGCGGTAAGTCAGTGGCTCAAGAGCTAAACCCTCCCAGTCTCCCAGATGTGCTGGCATCAGAGCACGGGACACAGGGAGTAGACCAAAATCAGGAGGCCTAGGTACTTTATACCATTAGTTAGATGTGACTTTGGAAACATCATTCCCTCTATTTGGACCTCAGTTATCTCACATGTAAATGACTGGGTTGTCACAGTGGTTTTCAACCAGGTTTGTATTTTCCTTGTTGGGAGAGTCTGAAAGCACGTGGAGAAGTTTGGGGTTATCACAATGACTGAGGGTGTACAAGCAGTCAGTAGATGAGGGAAAGGGATGTTGGCATATTACCTCCTTCAATGAGTGCACAATAGAGACCTGTCTGTCCCCAAAAAGCACAATTGGCCCCAGGGAGAAATATGGCACCCTAAGACCTGAGAGCTCCTGGAGAGTCTATATGAGAGTACTACATCAGGTTTTATAACTCAAGGACAAGGGTAAACATTTTTAGGAAGACATTTCAAAAAAATGACTGTAAAATTCTTTCAAATAATTTCATTTCCTGGCAAATGCATGTAGATGAAACTTTTATTCTCTGATAAACGAGAGGCTGGTCTTTCTTTTTTTTCTCCCTCCCTCCCATCCTTCCTTCCTTCCCTCCCTCCCTCCTTTATCTCTCTCTCTCTCTCTCTCTCTCTCTCTTTCAGAGTTTTGCTCTTGTTGCCCAGGCTGGAGTGCAATGGCGTGATCTCCACTCACTGCAACTTCCGCTTCCTGGGTTCAAGCAATTCTCCAGCCTCACCCTCCCGAGTAGCTGGGATCACAGGCACCCGCCCCTATGCCTGGCTAATTTTTGTATTTTTTTTTTTT